AAGTGGCAGGAAGCAATTACAGAAGAATTGACAGCATTAAAGAAAAACGAAACGTGGGACATTGTTAAAACTCCATCCAACAAGAAAATTTTACAATCAAAATGGGTTTTTTAAAGTAAAAAGACATCCGACCGGTGAAATTTCCCGTTACAAAGCAAGATTGTGTGTAAAAGGATGTGCACAGAAACAAGGGATTGATTATAATGAAATATAGGCTCCCACAACATGATATGATTCAATTCGTGTACTTTTGGCAATAGCTGCTGAAAATTGCTATGAAATAATGCAATTTGATGTGAAGACCGCATTTTTATACGGTAAACTTGAAGAAGAAGTTTTCATGCACATTCCAGATGGTTTAAAAAATAATAATAATAAAAATTTGGTGTGCAAGCTTAACAAGTCACTTTATGGCTTAAAGCAGGCACCAAGGTGCTGGAACAAAACTTTTAATGTTTTTCTTCAACAATTTGGGTTCAAGAGATCCTTAGCTGATAAATGCGTGTATGAAGGATACGTAAAAAGTATTAAAATTATCCACGTAATTTTTGTTGATGATGGATTGGTAATTTCTTCAAGAAAAGATGTTATAGAAGAGGTTCTAAAACAACTGAAAAATGCTTTCGAAATTACTACGAGTGAATTGCGTTATTATGTTGGTTTAGAGGTAACAAGGAATCCAAATACAGGTGCAATCTTTATTAATCAAAGAAGTTATATAAAGCAGATAATTTCAAGATTTAAATTAGATGATGCAAATCCTTGTAATATGCCAGAAGACCCAAACTGTGACCTGTCATTGGAAAATGAAGAAGTTATGAAAGATAATGAGATTCCATACAGACAAGCAATAGGCTCATTACTTTTCTTATCTACAGTATCCCGACCAGACATATCACATGCAGTGGGAGTTCTGAGTAGATATGTGAGTGGATATACAAGAATACATTGGAATGCAATTAAAAGAGTTATTCGTTATTTAATTGCAACACAAGGATTTGGTATTTTATATAAAAAACGAGAAAAACAAAGTATTTTAACTGGTTTTACCGATTCAGACTTTGCGGGTGATCGTACCACTCGAAAATCTACAAGTGGATACTTATTTAAGCTGTGCGGAGGACCGATTACTTGGTCAAGTAAGAAACAAAACAGTGTTTCTCTATCAACTACTGAAGCAGAATATATTGCAGCCTCGAATGCAGTTAAGGAAATTCTTTGGTTGCAACAGTTATTAAAAGATATTGGGGAAAGTGATAAAGCTGTAAAACCAACTACTTTGTTCATTGACAATCAGAGTGCCATTAAGTTAATAAAAAACTCTGAATTTCATCAGAGATCAAAACATATAGAAGTGCGCTATCATTTTATTCGTAAAAAATATGATAGTGGTGATATTGAACCCAAATATATAAGCACAGATAACCAGCAGGCAGATATTTTTACCAAAGCATTTGGAAGAAAACGTTTCGAAGATTTGCGAGAGAAAATTGGTATTATGTGTAACTGTTAGTTTATTGTGTTAAAGACTGATAAGTTTCTTTGATTATTTTAACTGTTTATATTTTTGAAAATTTTTAAAAAAAGTGGGATTATTGATATTTTCTTAAATTTTTCAAAAAGTGGGAGTATTAATATTATAAAATAAAAAGAAGGCGGCGGTTGTTATGTATATGAAGTTGATTATTAAATAGACGTTTTGTATAAACTGGAATTTTACTTTGCTCGTTTTATTACTCTGCAAAAATTATAAATCTTTATCTTCTTCATCCTCGTCTTCTTCAGGTTGGCCAGCAATTTCAGACTCATTCTTATCATCACTCTCCTCGTTATCATTGACATTAATTGTCATATCTTCAAAAACTTACTTATAACGCGTTTGTACTTTGCAGATTTTTTTGCCTTTGTTGCCTCATCTGCGACTTCACCACAAAATAAGCAAAATATTTTAAAATCAAACACTTCATTCCCTTTTTTACGAGGTACAGTTGATGACGTTGAAGGTCCAGTCTCTTCAAGGCGACGTTTTGCTGCTGCAATTTTACTATAGTACGCTATAGCCTACAATTTTCGACACTCAATATGAACGTTCACAGAAGTATAGGTAGTTTATGTTTATTTCTATCAATAACTGCTTCTTTTAAAGTCTTTATACCGCGCACAAAAGTCACAGAATCAACTTCAGAAAGTAACTTATTACAAATAAAACACAAATCAGCCAAGTTAAGCTTTAAAATATTACGAATATTACCTGTCACAACCCTAGACCTATAACGAAAGGGTATACCCGCTAACCATAAATATGTTTCCTGAATTAATGCGAATACGTTTAAGGCTCTACTGAAAAATTGCTTTTTTTGACTTATCCCCTTATGCCTTTTACCCACAGATATTTAGAATGATTCACTTCATTATTTAATTATTTGTATGTCAAAAGTAAGTAATATTTATTGACTATTTGTTAAAAAAAATATATAAAAATAAATATAATATAATAATAATATAATATAATGTATTAAATTGTTAGTTAAGTAATATTTAATAAATAATTAATTTAAAAAACGGTATAATAGATTGGGATTCATGATTTACCTTGCGCTAAAGGTACGTATGGCTGAGCGCTCCACACTCTGCGCCCTCTATCTCAAAAACGATTAGACGTATAAAAAAATGTTTTAAACAAAATTTGTAGAGAATTTTATTTTCTACAACTTGTATAATAAATGCAAATACGATAGGAGGCAGAGAAAAGGAGATATTCTCAAAAAATTGATTTTTGCGACCTTTGACCTTGAATATCTAAGGCCGCTCACACGTTGGCATATGTGACTTTTGAGACACCATTTGCAATGCTAAAATAAAGGTTTGTACAAAAATTCAGCTTATTCCGTTAGATTCCGAGGTGAAATGCCTAGACGACTGGATTATAAACTTTGTATTGCTTATATTTTAGGAAATGCCCCTTGTTTTTGGATTTTACCTGTATTAATGTTGTACAATTGTTAAGGAACAGATTCTCCTAAAAAAAGCACCGTATGTTCCATTCACTGTACACCGTTACCACGTGAGGAGAATTTTTTAACAGAAAACATATTTATATATAAAATTAAGGTTTTTATTCTATTAAAATCGTTTATAGTATTAATATTGTATTTTGAGTTTTGTTCGTTTGCTTTTTTTGGCCTTGAGTTTTGACGTACCGTAAACACGGGTGGCTTTAGCTCACTTTCAAACTTAAGCTTAAAATTTTTGTGGTTTTAACAATCATAAATATTAAATATTGTATACCAAAATTTTAGTCTTAAGTTGCTCTTTTATAATAACTATGTTATAATATTACGTAGGTCTGAGTTTCAAAAATAAAAATTAAAAACTGGGTGTGCAAAGTGTATTTTCCGTATAAAAAGTCAATATTTTATTTTATTTTATTTTTATTAGACACATGTTAGTAGCGACATATACATATTGCAAGGGATTACCGATAAAAAAAATAAAAAATCGACCTGTAGTTAACCAAGGATCATCATTCCAAAGGCTTGGGACAATTTTTACAAATCCCATTTATTTCTTTAAACACTGATTTTCCTGTAATATAGGCCCAATGTCAGAATCAAACACTGATTTTAAGTTTGCTTCTGACCTTTTAAAATTGGGAGGAAGGGAATGGGTGGATCCCGATTTGCAGCCATCTTCTCGTGGTGGGTTTTGGGTTGTTTTTCTGCAAGGAAAACCAAGCAGAGAGCTGCAACTAGTATTAAAAACACAATTACATAGTTATATAAATAAATTTAAATTTAAGGTTAATTTTTAAGGCCGTCTAGGAACCTGAAGGCATCATATTTGGGAACCCAAATTTTGCCATTTTATTACCCATATAAAAAGACACGGATCGCACATACACATTTTACGACAATTTAAACAGCGTTATGCATTTTTAAAAGCGTTGATTGAGAAAGTTTCCAATCAACGGTAAAAAAACAAAAACGGGTATTATATTATACATTGTATAAATGAATTCGCCGAAATATTTTGTCGTCTACTTTTTTAAAATGTTGTCGGCTGTTTGATTTTAAGGTTATGTTTGTTAAACTATTATTTTCTGTTAGATTTCTTAAAATGTCCAAACTTAAATATAAATTATATTAGGTAAAGTAAGAATTAGTAATTTCTACACCAAATTGGATCCTTTGGAAAGACATGAAAATGCTATGATTAAGTTCTTGCATTACATTTACAATTAAAAATACAAAAATTCAACATGATCACATAGATAAAATACACACACTAACGTAACTATATTTATAAGCATATAAAGGTTAAGTTTCTTAATCAATGGTATAAGGAATTATAACTATATTTATAAGCATATAAAGGTTAAGTTTCTTAATCAATGGTATAAGGAATTATAAATCGAAACTAAACCAAAGTTTTACAGTTTTTACTTGAAACGCGAAACACACATAACGTGCGCGATTTAGCTGTGCAATTGAAACTTTGCGAACAAAATTTGTGGAGTTACACTTCTGCCTTTCTCTCTTTTATAAAAAAACTACTTGTTTATTTAAAAATGATGTGCAGTTCGTATGCTTTAAATGTATTGCTGACAAACCTTGTAGTTCAGTAATGCTATTGAGCGCCACCTAAAAAGGCCTCCACCTGCCCGTCAAAATTAATTCCGCCGATTCAAAAATTAGCTTGAACAAATTTTTTAACACTTCAATTTTTATGTATAGATGTATAGATTAGGACTTTATTTTAATACTAGTTAAAAAAATAGTATATAATAGCTTAAGCTTATTAATTGCCTCGCAAACAATTTAGTGCCTCGGCAGTAAAATGTATACTCGGCGATACTATGAGGTTTCTTCGCCTGGTATATAATGTAATATAAGTACTTATATATTTTGTCAACTTCATCTATTGATACACTGTATTGACCCAACTTTCCGTATACATATATTCCATATTCTCCTTGTAACAAATATTTTTAATCTTTTCAGAATTATTCTCTTAACAATGTGGCAGCCATGGCCAGTCCCGTGGCAGGATGCGTCCATCCTTGTATCAGACCCGAAATAGCGAGCACCGCCACGAGTTACAGCACTATGAGGACGCAGCAACCGGGTTCGCTTCCCGAATACCAAGTGGATCCGTATGCATTATTAGAGGACGATCTTAAGGACGTCTACGTATACATTAGAGAGGTGAGTAATAAGATTGAAACTATCGGCATTTTCGCAACTGGAACGGTTCTAGCTCACGGCGGTCCTCAAGGGTAAATAGGTGGACCAAAAATGTAGCCAAAAAATATTTACTACATCTAATTGTACTCCACTTAGGCTCTCTAAAACCATTTTTGGGTAAATCGCAGCTGATCGAAAAGTTGTTTTTTTTAGTTTTAAAAGAAAATCATGGAATTTTAGTAGTTTTTTTTTGGTTACATTTTTTTATATCAAAAGTTTGTGTAATTTTAATCATTATCTTATTGAAAATCACATTCTTTAATCTTCTTAATAACATTTAGTAGTATTATTAATTGAAATCATAGTTAAGTATCAAATTTTCATCCGCACTACAAAAAATTTAATAAAAAAGTAGGTAGGTAGGCTAAGACTACTATGAAATACAATATAATGTTACAATTAAGTACCAAAGGGTGCCATGGAATCTGTTGTTGTGTTATGACAACACGTCAATTGTTATTGAACAGAGAACATAAGTTTTATTTAGATGTTTGTGTTATTTAAAGTAGTGTTTTAAATTCAAAGTAATAATGCAAAAAGTCTTTGTGACGGCTGGTGGATTTTGGGTACACCAATATCTCAGTTATTAGCTTAGTTTTTTCTTCTAAGGTTATTAGACATGCAATTTATATTTCACTACAGTTTATCAACAAATTTCAAAATTTATTTAAAAAGTCCGAGTATTACAGATTTTATACCATTTTAAAATTTTTATTAATTCTATTTCTAAATAAAAAAAAATCTAATATTTTTAAAATAAATTTTGAAATTTGTTGATAAACTGTAGTGAATTATAAATTACACCACTTTAATTTGAATTATCTTAATTTGGGGGGCAGGACGCTGGGGGGGCACGCTAAAAAACAAACTGTTTTTCCCAAACTTTAATTTAAATTCTGCTCGCGCAGAACTTGTATATTAGGTGCTATATAAATTTGATGTGGGTCCCATGTCTAAAAACTGAGATATGGGTGTGCCTAAAATCCACCAGCCGCCACTTTAAGATAATCATGAAGAAAACCGATCGAAAGTTTGTGTTGTCTGCGGCAGGAAGATAGTTTTTGGAAAAAGCAATCCATCAAAATTTATATTAAATGATAACCTATACAATTTGATAAATCTACACTGCTTTAAATTTGACAAAAATGACAGTAGATATTCCAATGCAGTATGTGGCAATTGTCGTTTGTCTTTATACGATAGGAGACAGAATATCTTAAAAAGACCTCTTTCCAAAAAAGAACCGGGTTTTGACGAAATTGTGCTACATCCAAGAACGAGACTCACATGTCACCATGTAGCTGTCAGTTTTAAAGGTCACAAACCAACACGCAAAAATTCTAAATGGAAGAACAAAAAAGCAAATTTTAGAACATGCAGTGAATGCTTGCAAAAAGTTGATAAAGGAATTTCCCAAAATTACATTAAGCACAATTCTGTTGTCTGTTGTCCCTACTTTGTTATCTATGGTCCCTACTGTTTTTCTGATATTAATGAATTAAGAAATGGCACTTTAAATGTTGGTTTATATAGAACTTACCTGGGAAAAATATAAAATTAATCGTTTGGACATTTGTAGGTTTAGTTATTAATGTTTCATGTTTTGTTAAAGTAGTTATCTACCTAATGTTATTGAAAAGATCAAAGGATGAGATTTTTATTCGAGTGTAACCAAAATTACACATATTTTTGATATAACAAAAAATGTATCCAAAAAAACTAATAAAATTCCATGATTTTCTCTAAAAACTAAAAAAAATCAAGTTTTCGATCAGCTGCGATTTACTTAAAAATGGTTTTAGAGAGCCTAAGTGGAGTACAATTAGATGTAGTAAATAGTTTTTGGCTACATTTTTGGTCAACCTATTCACCCTTGAGGACCGCCGTGAGCTGGAATACTCATGAAAAATGAAAAGGTATGGTATAATGCAGTTCAACATTAATCCAGGCTTTATTTCTTAGGTCAATTGTTAAATTAGTTTAAATCTGTGAGCTAAACTTAAATTGTGGTATTATATCCGATAGGTAATTCGACATTTTTTCCTGTTGATTTTAATTAAATCGGTGAGATTAAAAACAGTCCAAGTCCAAAAATTTAATTTTGACAAGTCATTTTTGAAAATCAAGTTCAAAATACATTTTTGTGAGAATATATATTGTTTTTACAGAATATGAATATTATATTTTTCAAAAAAGTTAAAATATTCTTATAAAAGTACATTTAGAACTATAAACCTGATTTTTTTAAATATTTTGTAAAAAAATTTAACTTTTGGACTTGAACTGTTCTTAATCTCACCGATTCAATTGTTCCGTCGCTATTATTTATTAATTAACAGCAATGCCCAACAATAAATACAAATGTCATAAAAAATAATTATATTAAATACCATTCTAGCTTTAAATTAAAATTAGTTAATTGCCTCTTTATTCCTGCATTGTGCCTTCAAATAATGTCAATTTGACTATTAAATCTTTCTGAAATCCTAGAACAGAGGCGCTTTCTTTTTCTTCTGCCATCTATAGCGTCTTTAGGGCAACGAAGATATATAATTACACCCAAAACATTCGGTTGAAATAGTCTATAGAAGATTAAATAGTAAAATTTATTATAAATATTTAACTTATTATAAACTACTCACAACGAAATAGGGAGCACTTAATTAAATCAGCATAACTTTTTAATAAAACTAGATACTTACTTGAAATTTGGTGACAATATAGAATATATATACCTTCATAATAAATGTATACACGATATATATAAAAAATAATACAATTAATTTTAGGGAAGAATAAAAAATAAACAGATTTTGAACTTTTTTATTTTTACAAAATTAAACAAAAAAATATGTTTAATAATGGGTATGTCCTCCTCTAGCTCTTAGAACCTCAGCACATCTTCTGGGCATCGACTCTATTACGTCTACATACTCGTTGACGTCAAAGAGAACGTTTTCTGGACTCCACGGTTAGTTCGAGCTTTTGGAGGTGGATCGATAATGGTTTGGGGTGGTATAAGTTTGAATGGCTGTACTGCCTTGCACACTATTCATAACGCAACTTTAAATGCTAGGGGATACATTGATGACATTTTACGACCTATTGTGCTACCATTTGCAAATCAAGTAGGTCAAAATTTTATACTACAGCAAGACAATGCTAGGCCACATGTGGCGCGAACAGTTTTAAATTTTTTTGAAGAACAAAATTTAACTGTTATGGAGTGGCCAGCCAATAGTCCCGATTTAAACCCAATTGAACATCTTTGGAGCATTATGAAAAATCGCTTGCATATGGTATTGGTACCCTTCAAGAGCTGGCAATAATGGTTCAAGAAGAATGGGAGAGCATTCCTCAAAATTTAATAGACCAGCTAATAGAGTCGATGCCCAGAAGATGTGCTGAGGTTCTAAGAGCTAGAGGAGGACATACCCATTATTAAACATATTTTTTTGCTTAATTTTGTAAAAATAAAAAAGTTCAAAATCTGTTTATTTTTTATTTTCCCTAAAATTAATTGTATTATTTTTTTTATATATCGTGTATACATTTATTATGAAGGATATATATATTCTATATTGTCACCAAATTTCAAGTAAGCATCTACTTTTATTAAAAAGTTATGCTGATTTAATTAAGTGCTCCCTATTTCGTTGTGAGTAGTTTAGTTACGCAAAATATATTTTTATATAATTAGCCAATTTTATTATTGATTTACCTAAGCTAAATAAAAAAATACGTTTGTTATCTACAAAGGTACATAAAAACTATATTCGAGAACAAACAATATTACTGACCAAATGATTAAATGACCAAAAAAAATTCCTTTATCGTTCATTTTTATAGGGTTAATAGTTGATATTAATTAATTTTATCAAGATATATTTTAATACTTTTATCGTATATAGTATTAATACTACTAGTGGTAAAATTTTACCAATAAAATTTTTGATGAAAATTTTTATACGAATGTTATTTTCTTGGAAATTTTGCAAGTGGCATTAATTTTTAGGCTATGGCGCTTGGCGAGTGGTTTTAAATTATTGCCACGAGCGAAATTTCCAAGGAAAAATCTTGAGTAAATAAAAATCAAAAATTTTTTCAGGGAAAATTTTATCACGAGTGGTATTCGGCAAGACTATTTCACGATTATTTTTAACTGCTGATTCAATTTCTGTATGATTTTTTTGACCAAAACGAATATTTTTTAAAATTAGAAACGTCAACATTGACAATTATTTTTTGCATAGCAACCAATTGGTTGCATGCCATTTTCAGTCGTCATAATGAATCTGTCAGAAATATTTGGGATCTCAATAAAAATCAAACTAAGAAAAGGCTTTCTATTTTTTAAAGGTTCATTAATTACGTGAGGGTTTTTAAAAATAAAATGTCCGGGCAAAGTTCTCTATTTACGAGGTGATATTGGGTGGCCTCCGCGTTCGCCTGATTTGACTCCTTGCGATTTTTTGTGGGGTATCTAAAATCACTAGTTTTTAAACATCGTCAACAAAATTTGGAAAATCGGAAGGCAAGAAATCAACGCAATTCCCCAAGACATGGCGAGCAGGGCAGTCGTAATAGGCTTCAAATATGCATTGACAATAACGGTGTTTATTCAAAAGACATTATTTTTAAAACATGAAATGTATGAAATAATATGTCTTTTCTAAAACTAAAAAGATTTTTTCTTAGTTTGATTTTTATTTGTATTATTATATTACTTGTAACTTTAAAACTGGAGAAATGTATGACAATTTAATAATATGATGGCTTAGTGTTAGATCTGGATTTTCCCTTTCTGATAAAGTTTATAAAATTTAGATACGACCTTTGGCTTAAGCACGGCTTACACACTGTCCCCGTATCGGGTTGCAAATTACAAAAAAAATGCATTCCTCATAGAAAATCCTGCTTGTTTAAAAAATAAGATTCCCGTAAAAATTTTTGAATATAATGTACAGGGTGCATGCATGAAAAGTACCTACTACTGATACGAAAGAAAAAGAAAAAGTCGTCTACAATACAAATTGAAGTATATATACAATTAAAAAAAATACACAATTGCACATGGCCAACTGGTATTATTTATCATTTTTTTATTTCGTATTTAGATTTTAATTTGAATTGTCCACGACTTTCTTCCATAATTTTGTTGTATTTCTGAGCACCCAGGTATTTGATTCAATTTGTTATGAAAATCTTTTTTTTATACAAGCAGGATTTTTTATGAGGAATGCATTTATTATTAAAATTAACCAATAAATAATTTTTTCCAAATACTTTTATACAGGATGTCCACAAGATACTATAAATCCCTTGTTGCCTAGTAGGCAATGCCTACATTAACTGCTCCAATGTTGCATCTTATGTCCTTGTTATAGCCTTAAGAGGGCTTAACAGTTTTTGATTTTGACAATTTTTGAGCATAGACTTTTACTTTTAAAGGATGTATTTGGTATATTTATAAATATGTTTACTGCATAAACCGTTAATCCAACCAAAAGAGACAAAAAAGTGTGTCAATCAAAATTTTAATGTTTAGCCTTCTAAAAATGTAATTTTAAATTTTTTTAGGCCTTAAAACGAAACACATACCAGAAAGATTTATACGAAATATCGACTTACTACTTTGATGGTCATGGGAAAGCCATAAGACCCATGGTGGCAATTTTAATGGCTAGAGCGATAAACTACCATATTTATAAAGAAAAAAGGTAACAAAATTTTTATAACCTAATAAAAATACTAATAATATATTATGTAGAATGTGGTCAAATTATTAAACATTTGTTTCTATTAAAAGATAAAATAATTGAACTAATAAAATTGTTTTTAAATTTGTGTATAAAAATAAATATTAAAATAATTTAGAAAAAAATTCAATTGCAAAAAACGCTTGTTTGGAAATAAATTGCAATCATGTTTTACTAGGAATGGCATGGTCTATTTATGTTTTTTATTTATTATGCATTTTTTATTTACAATGTAGGTATGTAGTTACAAAAATATAATTTACAATTAAAACAAATCTCTATGATGAAAAATTCTACGGATAATAAATAGGACAGTGACATTGCATAACATTATTTAATAATTCAATGGCAAATTGAGAAGATAATTGCTCAAAATGCATGTCTATACTAATCATCTATAATAATACTTGTTTGTATATCGGTATCTTCCAGCGATCTTCGTGAAAAGTCATTTTGTATTGGTATTTTATTGCTAAGGAAAATATTGTAAAATGATTAATCATCCTTTAGAAGCTTATTTATTTTAATTTATTTTTTAACCCTTATGTGCACGGAAAGGTACAGGTGTACCTTTTTAATTTTTGTTATGCAGTAACTTATTTAATTTAATTTAAAAATGGTACATGTTTTAAGACATCTTAAAATAAGGAAAGATAATGCCTTTTATGTAAAAATTTTAACATTTACCTTGCGTAGAAATTTTTTATTTTAATCCCAAACTTATTATCCCATTTAAGCACGGGTAGAAACATTCGTACCTATATGTGTTTAAGTTGAAAATTAATAGGGGGGGATAAAATCAACAATAAATTCACAAATATATAGATATATATATATAATTACAGTTCAGAAGTAAAACATTTTGTGATGGTTTGAGCATGTTCATCACATATTGGGATTTTGCAAACGCTGCAACATTTTCTGGTTTTTCTTTGCTTTTTATTTTTGTTTCGGCAAATATAGCATGATCCCACTACTGGTTTAGGGCGTTTAGATTCTTGAGGTTTATTTTCCGTAGCAAAGGATGACCCTGATGGTACCCTATCATCGATTATAGTGAATTTTTGGTAGAAAATATGTTTGGGATTTGCGAGCGTTTTTCAATATTACCCATTGCGAGGCTGCGTCCTAAATCTTGATAAAAAGTTCTTTGGCTATGTGATAACGACATAATTTCCTTTGGCCCTCCATGTTTTCAAACAATTTATAAAACCGAATCAATACTAAAATATTTCAATGCGTTGAATTTAAACCAAAATAAACATTTCCACAAAACGGCCTACGCAGAACAAAACAATTTTTTTATATAATTTTTTTTTATTTCAAAGCTTTTAATTCTTTAGAGAGATATACTAACCAAAACACAAAACATTAAACAATTCCAAAAACTTGCTTTCGCAAAACAAAAACATGTTTTCTAGTATAAGGTACAATTGTACCTATCTGTGCGGTATCAGTATATTTATTCTCTACCCAGTAAACACACATACGTTAATTAAACGTTTTTTTAAACCGTAACACCATTTTGTTTTTACGTATATTTATAACGTACAATCAACTTTAAAATGTCGCAGATTATAACGTTTAACAATACTAATTAATAAACGTTTAATTTTGGCGTTAAGAAAACGATTATTACACGTTTTGAAATGTTACATTTAAAACGTTTAATATACGTCTATTAATAACGTAAATTAATGATTGTTTTTGTCTCATTTACAACGTTTATCTATACGTTATATTTAAATTCATATTAATGTCCTTTCTAACTTTAGTTCTATAATAAATTAAACTCCACAAATACTTGTTTTTACAACGTATTTATTAAACGTTCTTTTAACGTTAACTGCAACATGAATACAGGCTGTTTAAAGGTTGTAGACAATGATTTTTTTGAGGTATCTCCAATCGTCTTCAGGTGAATCATTTTTATCGTTCGCTGGAAAATTTAGCTGCTTCTAAAACACAAAAAAGAAATTTGTTAAACGATGAAAAATAGACTAATTTTTCGAAAAACCCTATAAGATTTAAAAAAAATGGCTTAAAAAGCTTGTTTTCAGCTGGCTTTGTTGTTCAACAGATTAAATTCAAAAATTTGTATTGTAGAATATCGCTGGGCTGAAATTTGATAAAAAAAATCCGGTATTTTTAGCGCACCCGGTATAATAAGAGTGTTCTCGAAATACTAATTTACAATACGTACACAATCTCAAGGTCTTGTTGAATAGATCTATAACCAACAAATGTATCTTATCGAACCGACTTGTGATTTTACTAGAGAATTCTCTAGTAAAATCACGCCTAATTCCAATTTACGGTAAAAATACACGACCGCCGCTAAATTTGGAAATAATGGACTCTTTCCACAATTTTAACATCTGTACATTTATGAGTATTGTGTTTAATCTACATCAGTTTAATGTTAACTTAATGTTAATTTAACTTAAATGTTAATTTGTGTGAGTTAATATTTACCAGGTAAATTTTACCTACCCCACTATACTTAATAAACATTGAAAGCACGTAGAAAACGTCTTTAAAATTAACATATTAACTCTCATATTATTCTAGGACGCTGCACAAATTATAATAAGAACAAAATCACACTCCCCCGAAAATTAGGAAATAAAACAATAAATCTGCGTGATATTAACAGTATGTATGTTTTTAAACAATTACATTAAAGTACTTACCAAAAGCAGGACGAATCTTACGAGCAGAAAACACGTAAAAAATGCACCTTTTGATAGCAAAATCAAATTGAAAACTGACATAGCGAGCAGCTATGGCATGGCAGCCTACCATTGGCAGGCCCAATCACATGATGTGTATTCAGCCAATCAGATTGCGTTCTTCAGTTATGCGTTTTATATGGGTATGTATAAACGTATTAAGTACGTTTATTTAAACGTTTTAAGTACGTTTGTTTAAACGTATTAAGTACGTTTAAGTACCTTTGTTTAAACGTATTAAATACGTTTGTTTAAACGTATCAAGTACGTTTGTTTAAACGTATTAAGTACGTTTGTTTAAACGTATTAAGTACGTTAATTTTATCTATTAGTAACTGTCTAGTTTAAAGAATGTTAATAAAATAATGCAGTTTTTAAAGCAACATTTTTGGATGAGTAGTGTTCTGCCTAAAGCTTACTGTATGACCATTGACTATAGAATTACTTATGCTTTTCTTTAGAATGTAATTAGAAAATTTCTAAATTTCATTTAATGTTGTTTATATATATATGTATACCTATAGGTATATGTATATTGTTTATGTATGTATACAGTTTATTAAATATTAAACGTTATAAATTATTTTTAAACAAAACATTTTAGAGAAAAGCGATGTGGATAAAAGTATATTTGTATTTGACAAAAACCGTTTTATTAACGTTATAAAATTATACTTTTGAAAAAGTGAGAAAGTTAAATTATTTATTTAACATTCATTCATAATTCATTTTTTTAACGAACAAAATTCTTAGATTTTATACCTTCAGATTTTAAATAAGAAGTCATATTGTCTACATATCGCCACCTGAGAATTAAATTGTTCTATCTCCCAAAATTTAAAGAGGAACAAATAGCAGTTTAAAGTTTAATTTATATACAAATAAAATTTTAAAAAGCTGTTTTTCCGTGTCAGTTTTTTAAAATATAGAATCTCCCAAAACCTAAACACGGAAAAACAGCTTTTTAAAATTTCATTTGTATATAAATTAAACTTTAAACTGCTATTTGTTCCTCTTTGAATTTTGGGAGATAGAACAATCTAATTCTCAGGTGGCGATATGTAAACTAAGCAAAAATTTCACAAAATAAATATATAAAAAGTTATTTTAAAAGAGTTCGATGGAGCGTGTTGAATATATCATAGTATAAATGTTAAAAGAAAGAGCTGCCTGCACAGTTCCTAAAATAATTACTTCAAACGTTATTTTCCCATTAAAACTCTTAATATTTGTGAAAAAAAATTGTGGGTTGAAACGTAATTTAAACATTTAAATGAATGGTTGACTGAACACCTTAATACGTTATTGTAACGTAAAAGTTAGCCACTATTAAAAAACACATTTAAAACGTTGTTTTAACGTTTAAATTAAACATTTAAATATATGGTTGACTGAACACCTTAATACAACGTTATTGTAACGTAAAAGTTAGTCACTATTAAAAGCATATTTAAATTAACGTTGTTTTAACGTTTAAATTAAACATTTAAATATATGGTTGACTGAACACCTTAACACAACGTTATTGTAACGTAAAAGTTAGCCACTATTAAAAAGCCTATTTAAATTAACGTTGTTTTAACGTTTAAATTAGACATTTAAATATATGGTTAAATGAACACCTTAACACAACGTTATTGTAACGTAACAGTTAGGCACTATTAAAAAGCATATTTAAATTAACGTTGTTTTAACGTTTAAATTAATTCGTGTAAATTTATACCAATATCAAACCGTTGCTTTTTCTACGTAAAACGTTTTATTGACCTTTCACACGTTTTAAATACGTTTAAAAAACGTGTATGTGTTTACTGGGTATGCACATAAGGGTTAAATATTAAAATGTTATTTTATAATACATGAATAACAATAAGTAATAATATAATTTTTAAAACAAGTATTCGGTTTCAGTATTTTAAAAAACATTGATGCAAATATTTGGCAAGAAATTAAAAAAACAATTGGCAAAAAATAAATAAATGTTGTAAGCTTATAGAAAAGTATATATTTTAAAATAGATTAACTAAATCATTATAAAATTAAAACGCTTTAAAAGGAGGGACCTTTGTAATTAAAGAACTTGTAGAAAAAAATTCTAATTGTATCAAAATTAGTATTAAATTTTTATTATGACCACAATCAGTAATATATTTTCTTGACAAAAAAACACTAATTTAATTTTTATAAAATAATGCGCGGAAAAAAAATAGTTTAAAATGTATAAAACACATGTCAAGTCTGTGACAATTTAGCACTTGCCAATTGGAAAAATTCCAACCCCGTGCTGGTGAGTTAAAAGTAAAAACGAAATGTATTTATTCACCATAAGCTTTAAAATTAACCATATTAGTACTGATTGGTACATTTTAGTACATCTTATATAATGTAATGATAAATCACTTGATTAAACAAATAATAATAAAATAATTACTTAATATTATTATAAGAATCTTAAATACAAGTGTTTATATTATTTTGTATTTGTATATTTTATTTTGAACACATTGCGTTCCACTTGTATTTTGTTTGTTACAAATTTGACTTTGGCAAATGTAAACCGGATTTAACCTCACTTTTTCCCAATTTATAATAAAGTTAACTTTAGGCCGTGACTAAAATGTCCAAAAGCCACTGATGCCAACTTCAGCCCGTAACTAAAACGCCATTAAGTCACAGCTGGTCAATGGAGGATAACTATACCTATTATGTATCAATGTTTATAAACGCCATTTTAGATACTAGTTTTATAAGGCACGATCGAGCGTTTAATAAAAACAATTGTCTAGAGAAGTAAACCGAGTAGCATACTATACTTTATCTACAACAAACACAAAGAAGAATTTATGTTAATTTATTTGTTAAACTATTGACATATGACAACTGCTTACTTTTCTCCAATTTATAATAAAGCCCGTAACTAAAATGTTTAATAACCATTGATGCCCGTGACTCAAAACACCATAAAGTCACAGCTTGTTAATGTGGGAGTAGATAATACTCTCTAAGTACCATAGAAAAATAATTTAATTGGGAGAAAGTAAGGTTGGATCGGTCTAAAAGTTTTAATAATAAATACAAAGATGCGCCACCAGTGTTTATTCCGTCATCCGATGATAGAATAATTCATTCTGTAGCACCTTAAGGAATATATGTAATTTCACATTAAAGAGATGTTAGAAGGGTCATATTCCGTAATAGGAGTATAAAAATATTACATGTTTCCATGACACTAAGTGACCTTTTAAATACACATTGACAAGTTGTGGCTTTATGGCGCTTTAGTCACGGGCTGAAGTTAGCAACAGGTTTTTAGTCAAGGGCTGAAGTTAGTTTTAAGTTATTTGACAGTTGTCAAATGCAATACAATCGTTAAAATAGAGTGCTTTTCTTGTAAAATAATACTAAATGTGAAAATTATTTTTCTTACTATCTCGGCCGAAAATACGTTGTTTCGTCCCCGATTCCACGGCAGAAAGTTTACGTTTGATGCATTGGTCAAATTTACGTTTGATGCATTGGAATCGGGGACGAAACAACGTATTTTCGAGTATATTCACTACAAGGGCTACGAAGGCTTCGCTCGTGCCGCAAATCATATAGAATACGCATGTAGTGGAACCATAGAGAAACACAGAACACAATAGTGGAATAGTTTGCGTTATTTAATGTTTCGTGTAGATGTAGTTTAAGCCAAAGATAATGTATTATCTTTGGTTTTTAAAAGCTTTATTGCCATTCTCATTTGACGTTTTAAAATTTTGCAACTGTCAGGTTTTATTCGTGTCAAATCTTTGCAAGCATCTCCCAGTAATAGTTATTTACATGTCAAGCTTTGTAAATGAATCTTTACGGGCGAGCTGAAAGTTTGTGGGGTGAGCGACGCAGGAGCGAACCCCATAATTCAGTGAGCCTAGTAAAGATTAATTGCAAAGCGTGACACGTACAAACTTTTATTTTCACCTTTAGATAACGATTTTCAAATTTAAAATTTTAATTAATAGGTCAAATGTGACATTTCCTTTCATAAGTGGCTTTTCTACAAGCCTGTAAAACTTTACAGGTCTTTTATACAAGCCCGTAAAATATTACAGGTCTGTTCCCATAATGTATCGTTTACTTGGATACAAAAACAATATAATTAACCCATAAAATATCATTTACTAAGAAGGTGGAAATAAATTACTTTTAAAAAGTTCAAATAATAACCCTTATCCAGAATGGAATCACGCAAAGGCAAGTTTCTGAATTGTTGGATACTAAAAAGGATAATTAAATCGAGTATACAAAAATTTGGAGAAGATGGAATGGTCAAGCGCCGACGTAGCTCTGGACGACATCGAGGCTCCACACTTAACGAAGACGAAGCATTGATTTATATGGTGAAAAATGCTCCCTTTATCACCGCTATTCAGGCGGTAAACAACAAAGTTTCCAATTTCTCTTCGGACAGCACGTCGGCATTGAAACAGCTGGATTAAAAAATTTAGGCGGCCGCCACGAAACCACGATCAACACCTCGCCATTGAGAAGCAAGGATGGGATTCGCTTTGAAGCACTTTATTTAAGATGATGCGTTTTGAAACCGAGTTGTCTTCTCCGATGAAAAAGTTCTTCAGTCGTCTCCAAATGGTCGGACAAAAGTCTACAGACCAAGAAATACCCGTTACGAAGAGAGAAATGTTCAAGAAACAAAACAGACGTTTTTCTGTGATTCAGGCATGGGTCTCAGCCCTTGATCCTGGCATAATGCTGTATCTGCAAGATCGGTTTAACAGCATGATGGGGAACACTCAGGACAGTTGCTTTGTTCATAGCAGTGTAGTTTGAGAACCATAATATAGTCGTTATTGACTGGCCAAGTCAAAGCGCCGAACTTTACCCGATCGAGAACATGTGGGGTCTTTTAGCACGAAATTTACAACTTTGTGTCTCCCTGAAAAATCGATTGACGAAAGTTATAAAAGCTAACGGAGCAATGATAAAATATTAATTTTAATTTGCTAATCTAATCCAGTTAAAGGCGGACAATTCAACTGCGATTCGTAAAAAAAAAGAAGCTATACAAACTGTTATATTTGTTAAGCAAAGAAATCCAAAAGTAGTACAGTGGACTCATTCATTTGTAATGCTTGTAATATAGGTACCATTTATTTTATATGAAGTTTTTCTGAAGGCAGGGTAAAAGCATAATGATATTAAAAAAAAATCCTTTAAAGCAATACTGATTTATAGGCAAGGTTATAAAGGTTGTTTCACAGCAGGTGTCAGTTAATATCAAATGGTGCCCAACATTTTTTGTCCGCATCTTTAATAAAATTATAAAAGTACAACTCTTGGGAAATGACTAACTTTTCCAATCGTTGAACAATATACTATTATCTACTTCCGCATTACCAAACTTTGACTTTATGGCGTTTTAGTCACGGTCTGAAGTGAGCATCAGTGGGTTTTAGGTCACGGGCTGAAGTTTATTATGAATTGGGGAAAAGTAAAGTTAAATCCGACAGTTATCAGATGTCAATAGTTTAACAAATGGCGTTTATAAAACTTGATAAATAATATACTATTAATAAAATATATTTATTTTAATGCTTTCCACTTTTAAAAACCAAATTTGATGATTTTAATAAGTAATAACATCAGGTAGGAGGGTTTGAGATTTTTTTAGAAATGTTATTTTACATGTTTATGATCTTTATAGTTTTATTTTACTTTTATATTTTACTAAACCAAGACCCAAGGGTTTGAGATTTTTTTAGAAATGTTATTTTACATGTTTATGATCTTTATAGTTTCATTTTACTTTTATATTTTACTAAACCAAGACCCCTCCCCACAATTTTTTTGCATATGCGCCTGGTGAACATCTTGGGTTGCAAAGGTTTTTGGGTGGTCTGTTTAAAAAATTCTTACTCAAATGGTTATTAAATTTATTTTTTTAGTTTGTTGCCTTCTCAGCGAGAGGTGGCTATGATATCGGAAATGATTCACACTGCCTCCCTTGTTCACGACGACGTAATTGACCAATCGGATTTTAGACGAGGAAAGCCCAGTGTAAATGTTATGTGGAACCACAAAAAAGTAATTAAACATCTAGTGTTGTAACGAATAGTACCTACCCAATTATATTAAAAAATTCTTCATGTTATGTTTTAAATTGTTTATTATGTACAAAAATATCTGGATATTCTACCTGCTCGCACAGCGCAATTCTTTTCTCTATAAGAACGTCCGATCATATTCGGTGTGGGGCGAATACCAAATGGTAGTCGATTATTCGTTGCAACCATAATTATTCGCAATTTTTTTACGTTAATTTTTATTAATAAAATGTGTTTTTATTTTTTTAGGTTACCATGGCAGGTGACTTTATATTAGCTGTAGCTTCCATGATGATAGCTAGACTAAGAAATAACGATGTCACTTTAGTTCTCAGTCAGGTAACAGTTATTTTGTGACATAATATTCTTAATTTTTCATGAATTAATTAATCAACTTTTCATTTATCTCTGTCATAAGCAAATCTATGTTATAAACCAACTTAAATATTCAATATTTAGTTTATATTAAATTATCATGCAGTTCTTTCAATGCTTAAATCGCTAAATCAAACAGCTTTAAAAATGACCAATTTTGGGGCCCAAAAGACGTGGACTATAATTTCCACTCCCACTATGCCGTTTATGCAGAGTTCTGCAAACACACACAGTTGGAACGGTAGATGGAGCTGATTACCTTGCGCTCACCGCTGTCGCTGTATCCGATTGCTTTATAGCGTAATAGCAGTGTGTTTAGAAGTGTGCTTCACACCACATGGATGCCCGGCATTAATGAGTTTCAAAAGACCGAATCATGCTGTCTGCCAATGCCTGTTGGTGGAGAGTGTTACCAGATTCAGTCAAAAAAAGACCGTACGTTTCGTTCGAATTTACCTTAATTACAAAAATGACTCAATGGACAATATTAAATAACGTCAACTTGACATAATTGCATTTATTTGCATTGTTTCATTGTGTCATTTTGTAATTAAGGTAAATTCGAACGAAACGTACGGTCCTTTTTTGACAAAATCTGGTAACACTGGGTGGAGTACCTACACTCCAAACAAAAGCACGGGGGCAAGGTTAAAGGCCAGTTATTAAAAATTAATGAGAGGGTGGGAGTAGATAATAGTATATTTAGAACATTTTCAAAACTATGAAGATTTTTTTAGATATCCGTTGAAATAAAAACTATTTGTTCATCGTCGTGACTTTATCGATTTTAAAAACAACACTACACAAACACAAATATAACCTATAAACCGCGATAACTGCTAGTTAATGCGCTATCTGACACTTGCAGCTTCCAGTTAAATTTACTTCCAGTTATCTTAATTTAAGTTCTTAGTAAACGTTAGTTGCATATTGATATATTTAACAGTTTAGCTACCACTTTAATTTTATTTACCAGTTAAGACACTTACATAACTGGACATTGATAAACCGGCCCTTAATCGACCTATTTCCACACTTGCTGTATTGTCCATTAGTTATGGGACTTATGGGACACCCTGTATAAAAATAACAACCCTACTTCTTTACTTGCTTTTTATTATTAATTGACCCGAAAATTATAGAATTATAGAAAGCTCGGTTCAATTAGAAAAAAGTTGCGTAATTACAAAAACCGCTAGCGGTGCTCAAATCATTCGAAATAAACTAAAAACCTTTCAAAACCAAAAACCTTCCTTCTTCCTGGGAATTTTGAAAAAAGTCCTTAAGTTTTACATGTAAACTTACACATTTTTCCACATTTTCATCAAATTTCTTCGCTACTGTATTTTGAGTTACCTACCATAACCTTATTTGTTTTTATAATGGCCGCCACAGAAGATTTATTTTACTGTTGCCTATTGCCAAATTCCCCTTATACGCCCCTGGTAATGTCTATAAAAATATAAGTAGGTACTGGGTATTCCATTGAACAAAACGTTTTTGTTTTTGTTAAAAATCATGGTACCTACATATTAAAACTACCTACTATTTTTTATAATATTTCTTCAAAACAGATTTTAGAGGGTCGTCCTATCCATATGAAACCACTAATAAATATTATACCATTGCACGTTGGAAACAATGGTGTTAAAAATAATTATTTATATTTATAGGTAGTAACCGATCTAGTTCAAGGAGAATTTATGCAGTTGGGATCAAAAGAAACAGAAAACGAAAGATTCTCTCATTACTTAACAAAAACGTACCGAAAAACTGCCTCTTTGATTGCGAACTCAGTTAAAGCTGTAAGTTTAACATTAATAAAGAAAAAATCCTGATTTATCAAAGTAATAATTTCAGGTGACTATGTTAGCTGGTGCCGACGAACAGTTATCCGATATTTCTTATCAGTATGGAAGAAATTTAGGATTAGCTTTTCAGTTAGTGGATGATCTTTTGGATTTTGTATCCTCGTCATCTCAAATGGGCAAACCGACAGCGGCCGACTTAAAATTAGGATTAGCCACGGCTCCTGTTTTATTTGCTTGCGAAAAGGTTAGTATTTTACGTACAGAAGTTACATTTTGTTTGATTGTGAAGGTGACCAAACAATTTCCTATATTAAATAAGGTTATTTTGAATAAAAAATTAAAAGGAAATTTTTCCAAACTTATATTAGGATTTCAATTGTAAATGCTGCATTTTCACTTAAATAACCAACAAATACTTTATGTACAAAAATATATAAAAGTTTTTTATCTTTAAGGCAAACTGCTTAAGTTTTTTAAAAACTGAAATATCTGATATTTAGAAAATTGTAATAGTTTTTGTATAAAGAATGCATACACCTTATAACATATAATAACAAAGAATGTAATATTATTATTAGGCCTTGACATTGAGATTGAGCACTTGGCTGACAGAAGTGTAGTTTCCACCTTTGAAAAGTTATCGGGGGTAATTACACAAGTGCTTAAAAATTATCGATAATTTTGCTTGAAACCATATTGCCTAACAAATGCATGAGTTCATTTTCATATTTTCCTCAAAATATTAAAATGACCGAATGCATTTTTTAAAGTGATTATTTTTATGCACGAGTGTAATTTGTTTAGATAATTACACGAATAAACTAATTAAATCAAAGAATTTTTTCAAATATTTTAATTTCAACACAAAACTTCATTAACAAATAATTAAAATGTAAACTAAACAAATTAATAATTATGAAAAACGTGACATTTTAAATAACTGTCACATTAAAATAAAAACTGACGTTATTTTTATTAATTGCCATGGTTACGTAGATACAATGGAATTTTCGATTCCTAGTAGACAATTATCGCTGTAAGCGATAATTGTCTTGTAGGCATATATAAGAGGGTAATTATCCACCTAGATTTTCACACCGCATCTACACTGAGAGAACTGTTTGGGAATGATTACCGAAAAATAAAGTACATTGGGGACAGCTTTGACAGTTTTAGAGTGACGCTTGCGTGTTTAGAAGTGATTCCCAAAATATTAAGTTTAAACCTAAGAGTTTGGGAATTATTACTAAACACACAAGGGCTTACTCTCAAAATGCTCAAGCTGAATCCAATTAACTTGATTTATTGGTATTCAACTCCGAACGGCACAAGAAACCATATTTTTATAAAAAAACACAATTTTTTTACAAAAACTTAAAAAACAAAAACCAATCTAAAATAACTTGCAAATGCTATTTTGAAAAATAACAGAAAAAATAATTGCTTTTAAATAAAATAAATATAGGAAGCAATAAAATTTCAGTCTTGTGCATCAAAATGACATTTGCACTGCAATGATTGGAAAACACCAGGCTGCTTTTAAGGTATACTACAATTTTTGGGAAATGCTTAACTTTTATGCGTTAATTTTAAATGTATAAATGACTGTGTAAAAACATCCACCACCTGAATATTATCATATTTATATTAAAAAAATTCTAAAAGTTATATCAACAAAATATAGGCAGCTAAGTACCTGAAGTTAACAGGGTTCACAGATTGTGTCAAAAAATTAAAGTTTTAAATTCATTTTCTAAAATTGTTTTTTATCTTTTTATATGAATAAATAGTCTCAAAGTCATTTAAATTACGGTACACCCTGTATAATTTTTTTAAACGCATTCAAGATTTTTTGTTTAATTTATTGTTTTGACCTTTATACTAATATATAACAACAAAACACTTTTTTAAGTTTTACGTCTTTATTTTAATTTTGACTATTGTTTTACACAGTAGCTTTTTCAAAAATTTCAAAGGCATTATTAATTTTTGTGGGCTGGTTGGTTACATTCCACAAAAGTTGTTTTTATTTCACTTTTATAACACATAGTCCAGTATATTAAGGTTTTATTATCATTGGGTAAGAAATTGGTTTGTGGTTTCACGAATAGATTTTTACAATTATCGTTAGTTTCAAAAAAATCAATACTAATTCATTGATACATTTGACGTGGTTTGACTGCAGTATTTTTGATTTTATCAAAAAAGCAGCCGATACGATTTTTGATAAGAAAAATAAATTTGTATAGGTACTTGATATTTTTATTTAACTAGTAATATCCGTACAATTCAAATTTTAATAAATGACAATAATACCCATAGGAATAATTTTAATGGGCTAGCATTTTTTCAAAATCGTACCAACAAAATAAGCGCAAAATCCACCAATTTTTAGCGACTTTAATAGTTTTTAACTAAAAGTATGTTCTTCTGAAAAAAATAGCAGTTTTCAAACTGGCCCAGAGCATTTTTAAAATCGCCCAGCAACGTTAGAAATTGCTTCGATTAGCGGCCAGTCGCCCAGGCAAAACTTCACTAGCTGCAGGACCATTAAAAATCGTCTAATTGTTTATAAATTGCCTCATCTGCTAGAGAGTAATTCTCAAACATCCAAATCCAAAATTATTTTTATTGATAAGTAACATCTGCAAACATTATGAAAAAATATTAAACAAAACAAAACCTCAAATCAAATAATTATATTTCAAAATCACCCACGAGTTGGTAGTTCCCAGTTAAGTCGGGTCTACAATTGTCGCAGGTCGCAGATCGCAAAACATAAGCTTGCGCAAAGCATCCAGCTGACAAAAGAACCTTGCTCCATCGCCACGTCGCGGGGTGCTTTGCGCAAGCTTATGTTCTGCGATCGGACCCCTGCGACAATTGTAGACCCGGCTTTAGTGTGGAATGCGCCCCCCCTACATCGCGGTATGCTGTAGATGCACCGTTTGGGACACCCTGGATGTTTTAATATTAAATAATTTTTTTTTAAGTTTCCGGAGTTAAACCCTATGATAATGAGAAGATTCCAAGAGCCAGGAGACGTAGAAAAGGCGTTCGAGTTGGTGCACAAGTCCAGGGGGTTGGAGCAGACTCAATTTTTAGCCAAACAGCACTGCCAGGAAGCAGCGCGTCTGGCCAATTTGTTGCAAGAAAGTCCCTATCAGAAGGGACTGATCGTCGCTGCCGATTACGTACTAAATCGCATGAAATAATACATGCCTCATAAATATGAAACTTTATTTAGTAGTTGATATTAATTTGTACGTATAATAATTATTAGAATTGTTTAATTTATTAAACTCAAGATTTAAAAATAAATTACAAATGTAAATGTTGGAAATGCAGTCATATTTAATGTTATCTTTTTATTGAATATAGCTATTTTATATAAAAGACCATGTATATATCTGAAATATAGATACTTTCTTGTTACATTATTTAATATTTAATTATATATGTAAATACGTATTGTTATGTACATTTTGTTATACAGAATATTATATTATATTAATGTGTACATACTTATAAACCCCATGAAATCTACACGTATTTATTTTTAACAATAAATTAGTCAAATTGTATATATCTAAGATTAATTTTACTATGTAAGTATTATTTTTATATCACTATGTATTTTGGGCTCACATTCGTAAAAATAATAAAATGAAAATTGGCGGGTTAATTTTAACTTTATTTATATACACCACATATCTAAGGTAAGTTGACAATCAATATTAAAATAAGAAAATAAATTAAAATTAACAAAAATGAAACAAATTTTTATAATTTTTGGGTGATTTGCAATTGTTGCGTCATTTGAACTACCCAGCAAACAACCGTAAAGGTTCTATAATGGCATTTTATAAACGTGGTTTTAATGCTCTAAATGCCCTATAAAGGCTAACTCTAATGGAACTGTACATATTATGTCGCGTTCACCTTTAATGGGCATGTAACGGCAGTCAATAAATGCACTTACAAGAACCATTCTATTTTTTGATATGGCGCAAGGGTCTGATAAAGCACATTAAAGGTAGTACAAATGTGGCAAGCTAAAGTTTTTAATATGGGGTGTTAAAGATTCTATAGTGGTTATTTAAATAATTTTTAATGGGTAAGTAAAGTATCTATTATGGTAGATTAAATGTGGTAGTATTACATTTATTAGATAAGAATAGCCATTTTCGCGGAGCTAATCCCGAACTAATTCCGGACATCCTAGGCATGCGTTTTTTAAAATTTGTGGTTCAAAATGTAAAGTGCGCATGACAAATTTTAAAATGCGCATGCCTAGGATGTCTAAACTAGTTCGGGATTAGCACCGCGAAAACATCTAATATTTCACGATAATTAGAATTTGTTATCACTACCGTCACAATGCAATTTTTGACGGTCGGGATAAAAATTTCCTATTATCATGGAATATCCGACCCAATAAATATTAACAATCCACATTTAATCCACCATAATAAATACCTACTTTACTTATCCATTACATTAATTAATATATTAATAAACGATCGTGAAATGTTATTATTAAACATTCATAAATTTACAAGAAAAAATACAAAGAAATATGCTGTAATAAAGACCTGTATAAGTAAAACATAAAATTTAATTTTAAAAACTGTTTATTAATAAATGGAATCCATAATATTTAAATAAATAAAAAAATCCTAAATATTTACAAATAGGTTCACTTGATTTTTTTGGTAGATTGTCCTCTATAACAAAGAAAACCAGGTTTTATTTGCCATTATTAATTTCTTTTATACACAATTGCCCCAACGTTGACCTTATCAAATTTTCTACTCCCACCTTTAAAAAACGCCCTTTATCGTACATGTTTCCATGACACCAAGTGACCTTTTAAATACACATTGACAAGTTGTGGCTTTATGGCGCTTTAGTCACGGGCTGAAGTTAGCAACAGGTTTCAAGGGCGTCGCCAGCCGGTAAGCTAGGGGGGCAGCATATAAGAACAAGAGAAAAATTAAAAAAAAAAGTTTTCATAAAAAAAAAATAAAAAACGAACAAAATAACTACACACTTTGTTGACGAAATCGTCAAAGTTTTAGAAAATGTGTTGCCTGTGTTCACTTATCATTGCGAGGCCATTGAGTCGAGTTTCAAACATGGTGCTCCTCAACCAGGTTTTGATTCTCCTGAGGCTACTGCATGACCTTTCAACTGTACCAGTCGTACAAGGTAAAGCAACAAGGATCTTTAAAGCCTTCTTAATTTCAGTTTCCTTAAGGATTTCCACAACACTCAGTTTATCGTTTCAATTAGCAGGGTGACTTGTGAGCGTTAACCTCTAGGGGGGGCAGCCCCCCCTGCCCCTCTCTGGCGACGCCCTTGACAGGTTTTTAGTCACGGTCTGAAGTTAGTTTTAAGTTAGTTGACAGTTTTCCGAAAATGAGAATTTAACACTGCATTTATTTTTTAGAAATTAAACGTTAGCATTGCTAAAATAAACCTTAAAACTACAAACTATTTTAAAAATTTATAAATCACAAAAACATATATTATTCGCAAAAATGGCGAATGCGCCGGGATTAATTTCAAAAATATTGGATTTGATCTCATTACAGTTTAATGATTACACCACTGAAATGCTTGATAAGTCAAAAAGAACGTGTATGGTGGTTGTCCCGAGAATCGGAGCTGCTCGATCGATACTTTCCTCGTTGAATTGGCTGTTTTTTTTTTAACTTGGTATGGTGGTGTTCAGTAATCAAGGTGATAAATACTATACAAGTTCAATTGAATTAATTGGTCAATGCAAGAAGTACCCAAGTCACATTTTCCATGAAATTGACATAGTGGCGCCATCTGAGATTGTTTCACGTAAGCTTTCAGGTGGTATTTGCAGCAGGGAGAGAAACTTGTGTCTAAGTGCCTTAGTTTGCATTTACTTCAATGGGAGTTTACCTGTTTTTTAATGCAAGAAGTCATTATTTTGACAGATGCAGTGAAACATGTGCCTTAGTCCACGATATTTAAATTAGGTAATATCTGAGCAAATTTCCTATTAAGCTGTGGTAACCGTTTTTACAATGGATATAGGTATAATTTATTTTGTAATTCCTATCTTACATTGACTTCATCCGATGCTCACAACTTTAGCAATCCCATTTACATGGAACCAATCTAAAAATTAAGCAGTTGAAATTTAACAACGTAACCCATTCGTTCAATTATTGTACACTGAATTTTTTGTTTAAACCAAAATGGAAGTATAATTCAGTAAAGTTACCGACGCTGTTTATGATTAGCCAGCCTTCTTATTATGTTCTTAGTTTTGCTTTAAGTTAAGTTCTACTTATCATTTTGTAATCTTTTTCTTTAAGCGTTTCTTGTCATTCATATTATGTTTATGTAGTAAGTTTTGTTAACAAATTGTGTATTTTTTACGGCGTTATATAATAAACCTTTTTTTAAGTATAAACAAATTTTTCCTTAATATAATCCTAAATTTAAAAAAAAAATTCAACACAAAAAGTGCCCAAGTCCCAAATTAGTAAAAAAAATTGTTAAAATGAAAATTAAAAAAACTGTTTCAGGGTTTTATTATTGATAGTTACGGTTTCCCAAGATACATACACCTTAAGATAGGATGGTGCGCATGTTGGGCGGGGCTTAATGACGTCACTTAATGAGTGTTTTTAAATCTTTAACGTGCTTTTTAATTATCTACTGCTAAAATTCTTGTTTTTGCGATGCTTTTGGATGTTAACTTGCTCTACTTTTTGTTTAACTTGTCGTTTTTGTGTTCGGTAAGGTTCGAATTACTTTTTAGCGTTCAAATTATTGTTATTGCGTTAGGTTAACCTGTTAGGTTTGATTATTATTGTTTTTGTGTTGCGTTAACTTGTTTTGTTTGTGTTTTAGATTGTATAGTGCCATTTGCATTTATTAAAATGCGGTGTGGCATATTTGGATGCAATTCGGACAACCAGTCCAAGAAAAACCCTTTAAATAAAAACATTAAATTTAATCGATTCCCGAAAAAGTTTGATTTGTGGAAACAGTGTTTAAATGCCACAAAAATAATAAACTATATTTACGTTAAGACCGCTTCTGTTTCCTATAAACATTTTCTGGACAGTGACTATAAGTTTAATTTAAAACACCAACGCTTAAACTACAGCCCTAAATGTTATCAAAGACTGAAAGCATTTATTATCCATATTATAACACTTTCTTCAATATTAAGTTTAATAAAAACGCACTATGTCCAGAAATTTCTCTATTTTCTTTGATAATATTACTATTATTCGTGTATTTTTTTTCCTCATCAAGTGACGTCATGCGCGGGACGAACCAAAACTCGTACACGGGACGGTTTCCTATCAATAAAAATTTTAAGAAAAAATAAAAAAGTAACATGCTGCTGGGTATTTTATCTATTTGTTATAATTATAACATTAAAAAAATTAAATTTGTTAAATAACATTGTTTCTTATTGTGTATTTTTTATCAAAACTGATTGGAGCGGAGGCCGAGTCTACAGCGCGCGGTAGAGCGCTGTACCGACAGGGTTTGCGCTCGGGGATAAATAAATTCATATTGTTTAAACTTATAGCGGGCAGTGGAATTTTCTTGCAGAATATTTAACGAAACTAAAATTTTCATTTGTTTATTTAAAGGTTAATTCAAAATATGATAATAAATAAATAATTTCAAATTTTAAATTATTTTTTTTAAAGTGAATATTAAACAATCCTGAAAATTTCATTAAAACATCTCTAACGGTTTTTCAGTCATCTATTTTTTAAAAGTCTCCAAAAATTTCATTGTAAAAAAATTGTTAAAATGAAAATTTAAAAAAACTGTTTCAGGGTTTCATTATTGATAGTTACTGATTTATATTAAAATATATTAATTAAAATTCCACGATCAAGTGGGAAATGGGGGGTCCACTTGAGGTGATGTTACTCATTAATAAAGTTTATTAAATTATGATGGAATAATGATAATGATATTAAAAAAGATTTTCTAAATTACCCCCACCAGCTTGAACACGCTTCGTCATTGCCGCTCGTGCAAATAGTCCTGGTGTAGCCCGAACGTGATCGAATGCCTCCACAATCCTCTCTCCTAGTTTTTCTGCTGTGTCGACTAGTGTCTTATAAACCATTTCTTTTACATAGCCCGAAAAAAAAACAAGGGATGTGAGGTCGGGTGATCTGGCTGGCCTCTTCCAACCACCTTTGCGGGTACTGATTATTCAGGTGATTTCGAATTTCTAACCACAGTGTGCGGGTGCTCTGTCGTTTTGGAACTACATTCTTTGACGGAGTGCAAGAGGGCGTCAAATAACTCCGGCAACGTCTCTTTTAACAACTGTAGATAATTGCCACCGTTTAACTGGGGAGGAAGATAATGTGGCCTCAGTAAATGATTGCCAACTATGTCAACTCAAAACATTTACCGAAAAACGATTTCAATAGCTTCTAAATGTAGCATGTAGGTTTTCGTTGAAGCAGGAATGGTTGATATACGAGTTGATTTACCTTTCCTCGTAAAGAAAGCTGTTATTTGGAAAACAGAACCCTATTGTAAATGTCCAATAGAAACCAATAAAAAATAAGTAATTGGTTTGAATTGGTTTGAAATGTGTTTTGGCGCTATGAATCACCAATGCATTCCAGTTGAATTCCTATTGGTAATTTTCAATGAAGTCAGCGGCTTGAATTGGAAAATACCAATAGAATCCAATAAAAAATAAGTAATTGGTTTGAATTGGTTTGAAATGTGTTTTGGCGCTATGAATCACCAATTCATTCCAGTTGAATTCCTATTGGTAATTTCCAATGAAGTCAGCGGCTTGAATTGGAAAATACCAATCCATGCCTACGCTTGTCTCTATTGGCTAAATCCAATAGAAATGCACATGGAATGAATGAATTGGTAATTCATAGCACCAAACCCATTGGATTAGAAAATACCTACCAGTTTATTTTTCATTCAAAAATAATTTTAGATCCCAGAAGGATAACCGGGTAAAAACCAGAATTAATTTTTTACAGAAGAGGCAAAAAATTTATTGTTACTGAGTAATTTTATTTCTTTATTATTTTTTTGTGATATATGTATGTATTAATACATATAACTTACTATCGCCTAAATCCCTAAATCTTACACATACAAACATTTTTTTAATATATAAGTAGGTACACTACTAACACTAGGCACTTAACACTGAAATCGACTAATAAAATAAACAGCTAATAAATGGCGTCCAAAGACTTGTTGTTTTTTCTTTATGATGGCGTCTCAACCTTGTTGATTTTGCGCAGCTACACGAGAGCCCTCTTGCGATATTTGTATTCTATTGGGAATAACCAATTAGCAGATTTTTCGAATCCTACACTGGGAATGCCCAATTGAATTCAATTGGAAATTACCTATAGCCCAGAGAGCCATATCAGGTTAAAACATGGCCAAGAATTGCCCATTACCTTTGGAAAAGTTTTGCCAATAAATGTACTATGTAGGACTGTACATATGGTATTTGTGCAATCGCGATGGCCAACAATAAATGACCAAATTGTGCCCAATAATATGCCAAAGCAGTTTGGATAAATTAGGTAGGTTACCGTTGGTTTAATTTTGGGAATGTTTGGGCATGGAAAAACGATGACAAATTTTTTATGTTTATTTGGGCAATTAGGCTTTTGAAAAATTGACCAAATATTGGTAAATATTTGGACAAATCCAAAGTATTAACAAATATTTGTATATATATATTATTATTATATTTGAAAGAATATTAATCTCTTTTTCTCATTTATATTAAAATCTATTAATCTATCTATTAATTTTTTGGAGAGTATTTGAAAATTGGGTAAATAAAACGCTTTTTATAAAACAAATAAAAAATTTTGTATTTATATTTTTTAATTATAATAAAAAAATAAAACAGTATGTTCTAATACTGGAACAGTGGTCAAAAATAAAATTAAAAAAAAAACAAATGTATAAATAAAAAATATTTAAAATAATCAAAATTGGAAAAAAATATTGTTTTTTTATGTTGAATCCCAAGCAGTGATTTAATTGTTTTTTTGTAATAAGGCTTTTTTTGATTTGCAAATTGCAATTAGGTACCTTGCTCACTTCTAGCATGATAAAACCCAATAAATCCTCTTTTTCCTTCGTGACATATAGGTAGAAAATTTATTTTTAAATTGTCCTGCTTGTAGTAAAAGCCTAGTACCCATAAACACTATTTACCTATAAAAAGGCAGTTATTTTTCTTCACTGCAACATCAAGATGAAAATCTGTAACAATTAACAAAAAATAAGTACATAATATAGAACTACCAATGTAAATTTATATTACTTCAAAATTAATAAGGGAATAAAATCTTTGAGAAGTAAGAAATTGTATAATAATAATTAGTTTTTAATAAAACATTCAATTATAATTGAATGTTTTATTAAAAACTTTGAAAACATAACCTTAATTACTTACTCAAAATTTAAAGCCGTTTAAAACTTAACACGTTTAGTTAGTGCAGAGATGATTATATTTTTTGTAATAACTATCACACAAGCACTTTTTGACGCCTTTTTGTAGAGAAGGTCTTGAAATATTAACGACATATAACTAGCCATTGCGATTCTTTTTCCATGCTGATCAATTATTTGCCAAGTTTCGATCAATCTGAATTACAAACGCTTTGCCAATTTTCGACCAAACTTCATTACAAACGACGTTGGCCAATAATAACTCTATCTAGGACTGTATATTTGTGTAGTTTTTGTGCTATCGCATTGGAAAATAATTTGGCATAAAACATGTCAATTTTTGGTCAAACTTTATGAAAATACAATTAATATGTCCAAATAAACCCCAATAAATGTAAAATATCGTAGTCCAAACTTAGTTGGGAAAAAGTTGACTAATTTCTTTCCCAAAGCATGGCTCTCTGCGAGGTAGGTTTATCCAATCGAAACCAATAAAAACCATTAGAATCCTAACTGGTATTTTCCATCATGGAAAATACCAGTAAAAACCAATTTCTGTTTTATATCGCGCCCAATTAAATCCAGTAAGTCCAATTCAGACCCATTGATACCAATCAATACTTCAATTGGTTTCTACAGGAATTAATCGGTCATTTACAAACAGGGAATGCTTTCAGAAAACATATTGTCCTTATAATGTTTTCGAAGGTACCAATCGGAAAGGTCAAGTCTATAGACGAGTATACTCGGAAAATCAGCAGGGGTGATGTCTTAAACCTTCTGTCGACGAAAAGGACGCAGCCTGTTCTCATGCAAAACTCTCCATACACTCATGTGGGAGCAACCTAGTGTATGTGAAACGCTGCGGGTACTTGTGCCAAGATTTCCGTTCACCATGACCATGACAGTTTCTTCGAATTTAAGGGCTCGCACTATTCCGCGGCCTTTCCACAACAAGGCGACGACGATTTGGCCGCAGCATACCAGTTTCCGTTAAACTTTGATAAATTCTTGAAAACAACCGTTGTGATAGACGTCGCATGTTGAGAAATCTATGACCATAAAGATGCTGGGCAGCTCTGTCATAATGGTGTACTTCAACGTAGGTACCATACACATTAGCAAGTTTTTGCAGTGTGTAATTATTCTCCATGGTTTATTATGATGTCATAAATTCAGAATAGTATATTCTGTAACAAGTTTGGAATACAGCATATTCCGCTCGAGTGAAGAGTTTGTCACACGAGCCGAAGGCGAGTGTGACGGTTTCACGAGAGCGGAGTATGCAATACCAAACGTGTTTCAGACTATTATAGTATAGTATTAAGTATAATACTTTTTCTACGTTTCCAAAAAATATCATAGAAAAATAATTTAATTGGAAGAAAGTGAGGTTGGATCGGTCTAAAATTTGTTAGATATTAAAAACAGAGATGTTGCCACGAGTGTTTATTCTGTCATCCGATGATAGATAACAGTGATATTAGAACGGTCAAATTCCGTAATAGGAGTAGAAAAAATCTTTACTGATGGGGTGTTCTTATAATAAAACAATTTTATTATTAACAATAATTATTATTGTTGACAGCTATTTGACTTTTAACTTTTTGACTTGGTTTCGAGAAGTTTTGTTTCAATCGTTCGAACTGAAATATCTCAGAAACGGTGCATTTAATCAAAATGTTGATAAAGTAATTTTGTTTAAAATTAATCGTTAAATCTAATTATCTAGTGGCATATGCCACTAGATAATTAGATATCTACGCCACTAGATGGTTTTAGCAATCAAAAAATAATAATTTATTCAAATTTAGTCGAAATAGGTCAATTTCAATTTGTTTAATTTTTATTTTTCATTGTCTCAATTTATCATTCAATTTCAAAAATAACTTTTGGTTTAACTTTTTTGACAAAAAAGTCCCGATGAGCATACCTACTTATATTATTAATAACTTAAATAAACCTCATTCACTTAGAAAAGGTCCTTGGGAGTAAACACTATCCTTAATTAATTTTTCACAAAATTATAACATTTTTGAATTATGGCCAGCTTTTTGGAATCTGGGAAAAGTAATAAATAATGAAAATAATAGGAGTAGCTGAAAAAAATCGCGATATTTTTTTTTATTTTTTATTTATTTGTTACTTAAAGAAAATGCCACAACAGATATAAAACATGCTTTAGATATAAATAAGTTTGATTAATAATCTTGTGCTTCGATAAATTTATCATGGCGAAATCCGAATTACATTTTACCTATATTTATTTAAGGTCGTTTTTTTCTAACCTGAATATTGACTACGGTCACGGAATTTTCGTTTAATAGAATGACAATCTTGTAAGGGGGTTGGAGGTCGAGCGGGAGGTGGAGGCAAACGGTGATCGGTACCCGACACGAAACACTAAATTCTCACAGAATATATGCCAATTTTAGTTGCAACTATGCAAGCACACCGTATTGTTTCACTTTTAAGTTGATTACTTTATTTTATCCCTGAAATGTTTTACAACGAAGAAACGCAAACGGATATCTCTTTGGCTCAGAAAGCACTAAATAATAAAGTTGTTAAAGAAGGAATGGACCTATGGAAAAAGCAGAAGGACTTCGCAAAAGTTAAAAAAATCAAGGAGCAACAAGAGGTAGGTTACGTTTTAATTTGGGTTTTATTTATTATTTTAATAATTTCCTTCGATAAAATTAATCAATTTTTTACACACCTAAAATAACAAATAAATAATTTCGGAAAAGTTTAAAAAGAATAATTAATTATAATGTTATTGACATATTCTTTGTTAAAGAAACATATCTTTAAATAGAAAATGTTTTGATCAAAACATTTAAACTTTCCAAAATTGATTTATTATTATTACATACCTACTGATAAAATTATGTAAATTTTAAATAGTAATTTCAATATTTCTAAAATAATATAGTCATATATATACTTATTTATACAGAGTGTTTCCTAACCACTCTGACAAAATAAAAAAGGCGAATTTGCGTCCAATTTTAAGACAAAAATGTTGTATACCTATTTTTTTCGTAATTTATGAAATATTTTTTTTTATATTTTCTTTACTCACGTCTGCAGATCTGTGGAAGGACAATCACAGAAAGTCTGCATGTATATATATATATATCCCTATGGTGGATATAGTTGGATGTAAATGTACGATTAATCATGATAAGTTTTATATTTTTGTTACTTAAATTCCCCCACAAATTACTGTTGAAAACTTTGAATTGTTTTTTGAACTATTTGAACAAACTACAACAAACCTGGTGAATGTTATTATAATTGGTGATTTTAATATTTCTAATATGCAGCCTAATAACCATAAATATGTTAATTATCAAAATTATTGTAATTTTCAAAATATATCTCAATTTAATGATATTCATAACATTCATTCGTATGAACTAATTCAAAGTTTAAAACTTAAGGATTATTACTTTAAACATTTTCGCATGTTTGGTAATCAATATTATCACACTCAGTTCAAAAAACAACTCACATTGGTGAAGAGATTAACTAAAGATTGTTATCAGGTACACTTAAATCAGATAGAGTCTAGCCTATAGTCTGATCCCAACAAATTTTGGTCATATGTAAATTCAAAGAAAAGTAGCTCGCGTATCTCAGACAAAATGTTTTCTGGCGATAGTCTTTTAGAATCGCCACAGAAAATTGTTGATGAATTTTCTAATTATTTCAGTAACGTATCCTTAAAGCCACATGATCGAAATAACATCTCCTCAACTACTTGTAATATTGTTTAAAGTATACAATGTATACTATACATATACATGAGTTTAATGTGGTTTAACTGCCGGTGATGACTTAATTCCAGCATTTTTAATTAAGGGTTGATCTCATACCTTTGTAACGCCAATGTTAAAGATATTTAATCTTATATTAAGAACTTCTGAATTTACAAGTATCTGGAAGTTAACTCGTGTGACACATGTGTTTAAATCTGGTGAAGCTGCGAACATTGCTAATTACAGACCAATATTATCCAATTTTGCGAAGGTCTTTGAGATCTGTTTATATAGCCGCATCTGCCCTTTGCTGTCATTATTTATTAATTCCCAACAACATAGTTTTATAAGTAATAGATCTACACTAACAAACTTAACTGTCTTTTCACAGTTTGTTGCTGATATTATTGATAATCCTGGGCGGGTGGATGTTGTGTACACGGATTTCTCGAAGGCCTTTGACACAATTGTACATAATATTTTGACTAACAAACTTGGTTCATTTGGACTTTCAGATTCGTTGATTAAATTAATAATTTTATATTTGAATAATCGTAATTTATATGTTTCGTATCAAGGGTTTAAATCAAAATGTTTCGTAGCTACATCGGGAGTACCCCAGGGGTCAAACTTGGAACCGCTAATATTTAATCTCTTTATTAATGACCTTGTTTCTTCACTAAAAACTCAAAATTTACTTTTTGCTGACGATTTAAAGTTATATTAGACTGTACGAGGTGTTTAAGACTGCGAGCTTCTTCAGTCAGATCTGAACTTAATTCAGCTGTGGTGTAAGGAAAACTCCTTAGTCCTAAACATATCTAAATGTAAAGTTTGCTCGTTTACTCTTAAACTTAATTCAATTAGATTTAACTATAATATTGAACATAATATTATATCATTGTCCCGTTCTAGCTTAGTCAAAGATCTTGGAATTCTGTTTGATAGTAAGTTTATCATATTCAAAATATTTTTAACTCTGATAATAGGGTTCTTGGTTTTATTTATCGAAACTGTAAATCTTTTAAAAATATTTTTGCACTAAAGTCACTATATTTTAGTTTAGTTCGTTCTAAACTTGAATATTGTCCAAATATTTGGTATCCTTATTATCAGAATCTCTGCAAATCACTTGAAGCAGTTCAACGTCGATTTTTAAAAATGTTATAAGTATATTAAAAAACACAATACTTATCCAGAGAGGGAATATGAACACAATCTGTTATTGCAGGAATTTAATATTTCATCACTAGGTGTTAGGAGAAATATATTTTAAATTAAATTTTTGTACAAACTTGTCCATAATAAGATTGACTGTCCAGATCTGCTTGAGCGGTTGAATTTTCATGTTCCGCGTATTCATTTTAGGTTAGTTTCAACCTTTAAATGTTTTGCTCGTACAAATGTACTTTTGCGGTCGCCAATGTCTGTAATATTTGGATTTTTTAAATAAAATTTTAAATTTGTCGATAAATTATAGTAGATAATAAATTACACCACTTTAATTTTAATTATCTCAAATAGGGGGGCCTGGAGGCGGGTGAGGCAACAGGAAAAACTAACTTTTTTTCGCAAACTTCAATTTAAATTCTGTTTGCGCCGAACTTGTTTATTTAATGTCATTATGAACTATTATAAATTTGGTGTGGGTCCCATGTCTAATAACTGAGATATTGGTATACATAAAATCCACCAGCCGCCACTGAAAAAAGATTTTCGAATTTTCGCCAGCTTTTTTAATTCGGGATTGGTTAGAAAACACTGCATAAAATCGATTTAGCATAAATGTTACCATAGGAAAAGGAATTCATGTTTAGAATTTTTTTTAATTTCCTGGTGTATATATATATCAGATATATCTGATAAAAAATTATCAGAAACAATAATTAGAAAAGACTGATAATCGATTAATTTACATGTTTGATTAATTTTAGATGAGAGATATGTTAGAACGGTATTGGCCTTGGAGTGGCGCATCAAATATTAAACCCAGGGGATATAAAAATTTACGATTGGAGGAGTTATATCCAAATAATGATTATCAAAATGTAGGTATTTAAAAATCGAATTACATTTTATTTACTGGTTAAAAAATATAGGCAAAGAGGTTTGTGGGTGTTCTGGAGTGGGGAAAGCCTGGTGGAGGCGCTCCCATGTCAAATACCATAAAAACAAGAGAAGATCCCTTACTAAGATTTCAATTTGGAAAAGATTTAAGAAAATCGGTGGACAATAATTTGCGGTATAAAACTAATAAAACGGATCAGCAAATTTACAAAAAACAATTAGGTAGGTAAATCGTATCTCAAAACAACAAGAATGTAGCTATAAATAATAACACAGTACGATAAAATTTGATGTTTTTTCATTCCATAAAAAAGGTTTTGAAAATAGACTTAAAAAAATGATACCTGTGTGAGCGTTTTTTCAGATCACGTCAATTTTTTTTAGTGCGATACAATAAAATGTTATCCACGATAACGGCTAGACTGTATACTTTTAAAAAAAAAATATTTATTGAAAATTTAATTTGCGAAATATATTAAGTGGTGTTTTTAGGTGTGATACCACTACTCTCTAAAATGAATTAGTCAAAAATGACTAATTACTATAGTTATTAGTGGCTGCTTTTTCACATGGTATACCATGGGATAGCACGGTATTCCCGATATAATAGCCAATTCTTTTGTAAAATTGTCTGCATAATCCGAAAATGTGGTCAAAAGTTATAAAAGTAGAACAGTTTTTAAAATATAGTCAATTTTCCATATAATATGGAAATGACTATATCTCAAAAACTGCTCTACTTTTATAGTTTTTGACAGTATTTTCGGATTCAGGGGGCAATTTTAGAATTGGTATGGGATCCCATGGTATAATTGAAAACGCAGCCACTAATAACTGTCATTTTTGACTAATTCATTTTTAGAGAGTATAGATTCTAAAGCAATGTATAATTGAGGAGCATCCGTGCAAAACCGGCTAAATCCATTTTATTCAGTTTTTGTTTTTTTTTTATTTCGCATCTTTGGGTTCATTTCTATCGACAACCAAGAGAATTCTGTTTAAATCCGACTATATCCATGTTAAAATCGCATTTAAAAGGTAGGTTTAGGAGCAAAACCGGCCAAATCCACGTTTTTATAGCAAACCCGGCTATACCTATCCAATAAATAATATTAATATGTGGCTTGGATATGTCGATACTACTACTAAAATTTGTTCTGTTTTTTCATGTTTGCACTAAATTTATTTTGTTAATATTTTTGAATAAGGTTTTTTTTCACATTTTATTCGTTTTTTATTCGGTTTTCGAGCAAAACCGGATATATACTCTCTAAAAATGAATTAGTCAAAAGGTAACTAATTTAATAGTTAATATATTAACTAAATTATATGGTTAACCATGGCACAAGTGAAAAAGCAGCCACTATAGTGGCTGCTTTTTCACTTGTGCCATGGTTAACCATGGAACACCATGGTATCCAAAAATTATACAGCCAACTCTTATGTAAAATTTTCCCCTGAATCCGAAAAAGTCGTCAAAAGTTAAAAAAGTGGAACAGTTTTTGAGATATACTCAATTTTCCATTTAATATAGAATGGACTATATCTCAAAAACTGTTCTACTTTTTAAATTTTGACGGTATTTTCTGATTCAGGGGAAAATTTTACATAAGAATTGGCTGTTAAATTTTGGGATACCATGGTATTCCATGGTTAACCATGGCACAAGTGAAAAAGCAGCCACTATTAACTATTAAATTAGTTACTTTTGACTAATTCATTTTTAGAGAGTACAAAACATTTTTTGAAATTTTGGTCTTAATATAAAGTTTTTGAAAACGAAAGTATGCCTTATAAATCAAGTAGCACAAAGCCCACAAAACTCAAGTTTGCTTTTTCTTTTATCTGCAAAGGCCAGGAAACCGAGAGTTTTTGCCATTTTCCCAACATTTTATTAAAGTGGATATAGCCGGTTTTGCACGGATGCTCCTCAATTGTCAAACTAAAATTTTTTTTAATTAAAATTATTTTTTTAAATACCTATAATTTTTTTATTATGTAAAAACATACAATATTAAAAAAAAATGATTTATAAAAATCCATTACCCATGTATATTAAATATCTGCATGGGTTAAATAATAAGAACGGCTGCAGCCGTGGATCCATGGATTAAAAATTTAATTGACGTGATTTCATGAAACGGGGTACGTTTTTAAACCTCTTTTTTTAAATCTGTTAACGTTTTTTATGAAAGGGAAATCGTGTTGAATTGTGTAATAATAATAACAAAAGAAAACACTTAAAAACGAATTTTGTTATCCAATTTTTATTTGTTTTTAATTTATAGCGTCTTTAAAAAAATACACTCCTGGATTGTATTCTTTGCGATACAGGTCTTGTATTTTGTTTTTTTGTAGATCAATTGGTAGAAGAAAAGAAAATTAGACAAATACAAGAAAAACTAAACGTAGAAAATATAACGAGAAAGCAAGTGAGTATAAAATAGATATTAATGCAATAAGTTGCAAAAATATTTTAAGCACGCGAGTCAAGTGCTTAAAAACATTAATTTTGCAACGTATTGCATTCAAGATTTTTTGTTACAGCGTTTCTTAACAGATTTTATTTTTAATTTGCCATAAATAAATAAAAAATGTTTTTTTATTTTTTATTCTTAAACACTAGTAGTTCTTATTAGTGTCACTTTTACGTATTAGCACGTAAAAGTGTGTCATTTAGTAACCATAAATAAATTTAAACAAATATTTTTTTTTAATTTTAAACACTAGTTCCTAAAAGTGTCACTTACGCAGTAGTGCGTAAAAGTGTCACTTACGCAGTACTTCGTAAGAGTGTGTCATTAAGCGACCACAGTGATAATTAAAAAGTCAGTGATATAAAACGCTGTAACAAAAATATTATTAATAAACTACCTAGTATAATTATTTGCAAAGTTTTTAAAAACTCCTCCTTGGGGAAAGCAAGGTCCCGGTGGAAGGAACTGGAGACATCCTAATGCAGTAGGATTAAATTTTTTAAAATCATTGGTAAGCTACACATAGGTGTAGCTTGCTGGTTTTGGATTGTTTAGTTTATTGTAGCATAATCACTAAATTTTAAAATTACAACTTGAATGCCTTGATATAGCACTTTAGTCTTAAAAATTAAGTTAAACAAAATCAAGCAACAAAAATAACGTAACACCCAAAAATTTAAGTTACATAATGGGTTTTATTAAAGTTTTTTATAATACTATAGTATTGTGTAGCCTAATAATTCTACTAAAGGGAGCCGCAAAATTAACGTTATGGTTTAAATACTTTTTTCTACTCCCACCTTTAAAACGCCCTTTATCTTACATGTTTCCATGACACTAAGTGACCTTTTAAATAAACATTGACAAGTTATAGCTTTATTGCGCTTTAGTCACGGGCTGAAGTTAGCAACAGGTTTTTAGTCACGGGCTGAAGTTAGTTTTAAGTTAGTTGACAGTTGTCAAATGTCATACAATCGTTAAAATAAAGTGCCTTTCTTGTAAAATAATACTAAATGTGAAAATTATTTTATTATCTCAATACAAAAATACAAAAGTATTAAATACGCAACGCAAATATTTGAAAAGTTTATATGAACAATGTACTAACCTTTTAATTTCGCCGGCAGTAAACTATAACTTAAATTCGGGAACGGACTCCACTGTAAACTCCTCATAAAACATTTTCTTTACTTTCACTGTGAAAAACTGTCAATTTTTAAGAAATACATTTCGATATATAACCTTTATAATCTGTGTTTATAAACTATAAAAATGTGACATTTTACGGTGACACACAGATTCCCCTATTGTTTCATAGATGGCGCTCTCTACAAATTTTTGATTTAAATCATTGTAAGATAATAATACGTATTTGTGGTAGAAAAAGTACAGTATGCACCTCGTTTAAAAACTTTTCTATACACTCATTAATTTAAGCACTCGCTCGCAAGCTCGCTCGTGCTTAAATTAAATTCGGGTATAAAATGGCGTTTATCAAACTTGATACATAATATAATATTTTCTACTTCCACCTTTAAAACGCTCATTATCGTACATGGTTCCATAACACTAAGGGCCGGTTTTTCAATCATAGTTTAAACTTGGTTCAGCATTTGAACTTGGTTCAAACAAAATATGCCGTTTTTCAATCAAAGTTCAAGCTTGAATTTGGTTTAAACTAAATCAAAAGATGAACCGTAACTGTTGGCCGTTTAAACGAAGTTCAACTTGACATAACTTAATTTTTCTCTGCTTTATTGTGTATTACGTTGTTTATTTCTTGTTTTGTGATCTGCTGTTATAATAATAATAATAATAATAATAATAATTTATTGCCCAACAGAATACATATTCCAATTACAGGACAAAGTACACAACATGTAACATTATATAAAAAAAATTATAAAAGAAAAAAGATATAAAATGAACTTAATATTTTGTTAAAAAAAAAACATATAATAAAAAATAATATCATGAATAATATAAATTAAATAAAAATTAAAATTCCAAATTATTTTGACCGAGAAAAAAAAAATCATGAGCTCTGGACGTAATTTCCTTAATGTTTGAATGAAAGAAATCGCACTGGTTACCTATACAATTATAATTACTACACATAACATGAACAGGAGATTTCAAAAGCACGTTAGTTCTTGAGGAACTACAATAAAATGTTTTACTTCCACGAGATTCCAAACGTGGCACTAAAATATTTAAGAGACTCAATAAATGACAAGAATCAATTTGGTAATTAAAAAGTTTCCACAGAAATTTTAAACTTGTCACTATTCGTCTAACATGTAGGGTATCAAAATTAAAACGCGTTAAGAGGATGTTATGGTCAGTTCCTCTAGTAGGATAAATATGATCAACTCTGTAGGAGAGAAGTTTAAGGAATCTTCTTTGTACTTTTTCAATTGAGTCAATATGTACGTTATAATACGGGTACCAAATAAGTGAGCAATATTCGAGCTTTGTTCTAACAAGATAAAAATACATTGATTTTAATGCTGTGATGTTACAAAAATTGGTAGAATTCCGACTTATAAAACCCAGGAGCTTTAAAGCAGATTGCACAGTATTATTAATGTGTGATGTAAAAGAAAGCTTATTATCAAAGAGTACACCAAGGTCACGAATTTCATGACAGCGAGGAAGAATAGTATTATCTAAAGTGTAATTAAATATGATGTGCGTATTTTTAAGACTAAAGGTACAGATTTTGCATTTAGAAATGTTAAGGTCGAGTTTGTTAACTTTGCACCATCTTAAAATAATGCTTAACTGATCCTGAAAGAGTTCGCAATCTGTATAACTGGAAATACTGGTAAATATTTTTAGGTCATCAGCAAACAGTAGATGATTACAATTAAGTTGTAATGACAAGTCATTAATAAATAAAATGAACAAAAGCGGACCCAAGTTAGAGCCTTGTGGTACTCCACTGCTCGCATAGAAATAATCAGAGTTGTAGCCATTATATGAAACAGATAATTTGCGCTCACACAAATATGAATAAAACAAATTAATAAGGGAGTGACTAAAACCAAAAAAGTGTAACTTATTAAGCAAAATTTGGTGATCGACCCTGTCAAAGGCCTTAGAAAAATCAGTGTATACAGCATCTACTTGAAGTTTTTTGTCAAGTTGTTCTGAAACAAATTGCGTGAATTCAGCTAAGTTGGATACAGTCGAGCGTTTATTCATAAATCCATGCTGCTGCGTGGAAATTAGTTTACTTACCTCATTGTAGATGCAGGTATACAGGGAAGATTCAAAGACTTTCGCAAAATTAGACAGAATAGCTATAGGTCTATAGTTTTTAATATCGCTAGGATTACCTGATTTTAAAATAGGGCAAACTCTGGTTATTTTCCATAAATCTGGAAAAGTAGACGTTGACAATATCATATTGAACAATATTAAGAGAGGATATGCAAATATTAACGAGCAATCTTTTATTAAGAAGTTTGGGATGAGGTCAACACCACATGAATAATTGTTTTTTAGTTTAGACATACTCCGTAATATAAGCTCCTCAGAAAATGCAGTAATATTTATATCTGAATTAAATGTAAACTCAGGAGTCAAAGCAGTATTGTCATCACTGACAGAATAAACACTACCAAAATAATCAGCAAAGCCATTAACAACATCTTGAGGAGTTTCATATTGTATATCGTTTAAAAAGACATTGGCTGGTATTCTGGTTTTACCACGTTTTTCGCGCATAAATGACCAGAAATTTTTGGGTTCTAAAATAATGTTGTCTTCCGTATGTTGAATATATTGACGGTATGATTTAGAAATTTGAGATTTGAGAAGTTTTCTAACCTGTTTTAATTCGTTTAAAAAAACCTCATTTTTATGTTTTTTAAAATTCCTGTAACACCTTTCTTTAATTTTTATGTTGCTGATTATTTCGGATGTGTACCATTTTGGATATTTACGTTTACATTTTGTAAATTTGGGTACGAATTGATCAAAAAGCGAATAAAGTTGAGTATAAAAAGCTTCACAGGCAGAGTTAATATTATTATAGTAATTAAGGAAATTCCAATCAGTACTTAATAAAGCCTCATACAGTTCAAATAAATTGGCTCCTTTGAAATTATAATTCTTGTTATTAGCGTTGGTAGGAAAATTTTGAAATTTATCAAAATCTGTTATAATACTAAAAGAAAGAGATGGATGATATTTGTCCTCAGATACCATAGATGAAGTTTCCCTAGAGACACTACAGTTAAGATCAGATAAACACAAATCAAGAATATTGTCATTATCATTAACGATATTATTATGTTGGCAGAGAGAAGTAAAATTTAAAAAGTTATGTAACACACGTGTTTTGTAATCGTTAAGGTTATGAGTAATAAAATTAGGTATATTAAAGTCTCCAATGATAAAAATATTTTTTAAATTAAGTAAACATGATTCAAACATTTCAAAAAAGTATTCAAGCTCAGCGTTATTTATGTGGGGAGGAATGTAAACAGCAAAAATATAATATTGAGTATGATTAAGAATTAACTTGCAACAAACTATATCTATCAATAAAGAAATAGAATTAAACTGAGTAAAAGTTATTAAATTAACATTAAAAGAAGAATTAAAAGCAAGAAGCACACCTCCACCGCGAGAGGTTGCGGTTCTAGCATAATCCCTATCAGAACGAAATACAGTGTAAATATCAGAAAAGTATTCGCTACTACTAATATCACAGTTTAACCACGTTTCCACTAAGGCAATACAGTCAAAACTTTGCTCGGATGTAAACGAATATACTTCATCAACTTTAGATCGTAAACCACGAACATTTTGAAAATATACATTGATGGATTCGTTGGGCTTCTCTAGTTTTCCTTAGGCACAATAGTGGGGAGACCATTTCTGTATCCTATCCTCAAATTTGATTCCCCAGCATTAGTTCTATACTTAATAAACCAATGGATATG